ACAGTAAGCCCTGGTCCTGCGTGGTTTGGGTGAGCCTGTGGTGTGGTACACAGGCCTACCCCAGCTGTTCTTTAATCTGGAGAAGGGGAGGTCAGACCCTGAGATCCTTGGCCTGTAAGACTCCACCCTTTTCTCTCATCCCACTCAGCTACTCCTCTCTCTCCACAGCAGGTATGGCAGTAGTGTGCCCCAGTATTCAACCCCCCCTAACTCACTTCCCCCCTCCCCTTCCCTGCACCTGTCAGCTGTCTCATGGACTGTCTGGCTTGGCTGCCTCGCGTCCAATCCTCCCAGGCCAGCCCCACCCCACCCCCATCCCTCAACCCCTTCTCCCCCCTTCCTGTCTCTGCCTATGGCTGTCTCTACCTGCCCGTCGCCAGCACACCTGAGGAGCCCCGGCTGCCTAGCAGAGTGTGGGCACGGCTCAGGGTGTTTACCAGACAGCCAGGATAAGGTATTAAATCCTGTTGCTGTCTTCCCAGGGCCAGCTTCCTCAGATGGGTTTCCAAATCCCTAATCTCGGGGCACATCCCTGCCCAGCCTGTGTTTGATGGGAGCTTTCCTTTCTGATTGAAGCTCAACCCAGCAGGATCTGTCGTGGGGTTGGGTCTGGGTTCCCACCGGTGCGCAATGACATGGGGTACAGCCTCTTCCTCTCTGGTTCTTCCTTCCTGCCCTCCTTCCTTTCTTTGGGAATCTTAGAGAGTAGGGGCCCACCCGGATGCCCTCACTTCCCATCACCAGCGTGATCACAAGGCTGTCACTGGGAATGTGGATGTGTCAGGCAAGAGGGTCCAGTTAAAAGGGAGTTTGAGATGGATGAGAGGGGAGAGGTGAACAACATCCTTGCTGAGCCCTCCCTTGCAGCTCAAAACGTGGAGGCCGAGATGGGGTTTCTCTGGGACAACACCGAATGTGCTCGCCTGCTCTGGGAGAGGTTCCTAGAGCAAAGCTGTGTTTGTCTGGGTGGTGACAGTGCCAGGGAGGAGGCAAGCTTCTGTACAATGCTCCAGGTAGACACCGTGCCCTCCTTAAACTGACCAAGCTTCTTAAGTGATGGGAGGGCTCGGTTGCTTCCCGCTGAGCAGGGACCCAGGCACCCAATGGACTGTCTTCTTGACAGGCAGCAGAGCTAGGCAGTTCTGTTATACCCTTACCCTGCTCTATTCCTGCAACAGGGCTGCAAGGGGCCACTGAGCTCACTCTCCAAGCAAAGAAATTGCTAGAAACGGAGGAGTGGGACTGGAGACCATGGGAGGTGCCCGACCAGTGTGTGTGTGTGGGGGGTGGTGCCTGGATCTGCCCCTCTGTGAGCACTGGGCACGAATGGCTGTGTCATTTCTCTGAATTAGCTGTCCTGTGACCTAGACAGACTCTTACAGCTTCAGATGGCCTCTTCTATCTCCCGGCATGCCTTTTCTCCGCCTGCTCCAGGCAACCAGCAGGCTCTTGGGTTTCACAAGAACCCAGCCTCCCTCTCTCCTGGCCTCTCTCTGCTGGGGCTCCAGGTGGCCCGTGGCTTCACCCTCCCACTCTTGCCTCAGCTATCACTGTTTCCAGCTTTTCTCTCTGCCCTTTTGGAGATTCAGGCCCTGACAAGAGCTCTGGAGTCCCTGGAACTCAGCAATTGGGAAGAGGTGCAGCATTGGACTTCTTCCTGGGTCCACAGTCAGTTCCCTCAAGCTCAAGGCTGTCAGCCTATTGGCCAGAAGTCCCACAGACTCCCGTGGTAACAGGCTTCTCAATTTATTCTTTTTGTTGTTGTTGCTTTTTTTTTTTTTTTTTGAAACCGGGTCTGCTTGGAGCCCCAACTGGTCTGGAACTCTCTATATAGACCAGGCTGGCCTCCATCTCACAGAGATTCGCCTGCCTCTGCCTCCAGAGGCTGGAATTAAAGGCGTGCAACACCCCGCCTGGCTTCAATTTTATTTAGAGACCCTTTGTTTCTTACGTCTTTCGCAATGATCACAAAGAGAAATAGAAATAAAAAAGACAGAGAAAATGGAGAAATAGTTGGGTTGATGAAGAGGAGGAGGAGGAGGAGGAGGAGAGAGAGAAGGAGGAGGAGGAGGAGGGAGGTGAAATTAATTCATTAGAAAAACTTGTTTACTGGCTTTACTTAGACGCCTCCATTTTAAAAGTCTACGTTTACAATAAGTCGCTAATTAAAATACGAAATTAAGCAACAGCTATGGTTTTTTTTTTTCCCTTACACTTTAATTGCATGATTTTTTGTGATGTAATTTCTGGAAACACCCAGAGTACCTCATAGGGCTGATTGTTTGATAAACTAGAAGCACCTGAAACCAACCCAAAAAATATATAAATCCAAGGGGATCTTAAGGTAGATTGGAAATGGAGGACTGCAGACAGCAGGAACCGAAACCCAATAATAATAACAACAACAATAACAACTTCTAAGTGAGGCCATTTACCCTTGTGCACCGCCCCCCCACCCCCCATAAAACCAGAGCAGTCTGCATCTCAAGGGGAAAAAGAAGCCGAAATAAAATCCAGACCAGGTGGGGTTATCACTCCCTGTCCCCTCTCCAAGTTGGTGCTGTGGAAAACAAAGGAATACAACTGGTTCATTTCTACCTTGGCTCAGAGTTCTGGGCTTTCCTCTTTCACCCCTGATGTTAAGGGGGACTTTCTTTGTACCCCTCTAAAGCTAGAGCCAAGCCCAAGAGCAGGTGAATGGGGCAGTGGCTGTTCCTCCTGAGAAAAATACGTCTCTCTGTGGTCCCTGCCTGGGGCTGGCCCTGCTTTCCTGACTTCCATGCCCGCTCCCTCCCCACCCAAGCCACCCAAAAACCATAGGCTCCTGGGCTTATGCAGGAGGAGGGAAGCAAGGGTCCAACATGAGAGGAGTTAGGGCAGACTTTCGGAATCGCTCCCATGGCCGGCTGCCTATGAGGTATAGACCCAGGCTAGGATCACAAAACTGCCAAGGACCTGCCCTTAACTGACTTGGGTGGGGCAAGGAGGAAGCTGGATTCCCTCAGCCACCTGGCTGCTGGGGAATCTAAGGCCAGCCTCACTGTCCTTGGTATAGGGCATGGGGCAGTGGGAGCTTGTGGGACAGAGAGACCCTCTGAAGTTACTATTGACCAGGAACTCCAGTAACTTCTTTTTTTAAAAAATATTTTATTTTTATTATTTTTATTTTATGTGTACGAGTGTATTGCCTGCATGTATGTGAGTGCGCCCATGTCGTGCAATGCTGCGGAGGTCAGAAAAGAGCTTCAGATTCCCCTGGAACTGGGGTTAAGGACGGTTCGAAGCTGACATGTGGGTGCTGGGAATCGAACCCGGGTCCTCTGCAAGAGCAGTCAGTGCTCTTAACCGCTGAGCCATCTCTCCAGCCCCCCAGTAATTTCTTTATATCTTCTGCTCCTGGGGAAAAGAGAATTGCTTTTCTTTACGGTGTCTTTAAAAGAACATCTCTCAAGCTAAGTGTGATAGTGTACACCTTTAATCCTAGCAGTCAAGAGGCAGAGCCAGGGGGATCTCTGTGAGTTCAAGGTCAGCCTGGTCTACCAGGTGAGTTCCAGGCCAGCCAGGGGCTATATAATGAGACCCTGTCTCAATCAGTCAATCAATCAATCAATCAATCAATCAATCAATCAATCAATCAATCAATCAATCAATCAATCAATCAATCAATCAATCAATCAATCAATCAATCAATCAATCAATGGGGTTTGTATCCCAGCACCCACATGGCAGCTAACAACTGTCCGTAACTCCAGTTCCAGGGGATCTGACAGTCTCTTCTGTCCCCCATGGGTATTGCACGACACGGGTGCACTTACATACGTGTAGGCAATACACGAATATACATAAAATAAAAAAAAAATAAAATTAAAAACTGTTTTTGTTTGTTTGTTTAGGCAGGGTCTTGCCTTATAGCCCAGGCTGGCTGTAAATTCCTGATCCTCCTGCCTCCACTTCTCCAGTGCTGGGGAGTACAGGTATGAACATTTTTATAAAGAAAATAATTTAAAGATAAGTAACATAGGAACTAAAAGTATGTTAGAGACAGAAAGACCTCATTTATAAGCCTCAACAGTGTGACACTGGGTAAATGACTTGGCATTTCTGATGCTTAGTTTCTTCATCTATAAATTGGGAATAATTGTAAAGACAAACTTAGCTGGTTAAGAGTCAATGTGATGATCCATCTAAAATGCTTAATACTGAGCCTGGCATGTAACACACTTAAATATTAACTATTATTATAGTTAATAATGGTTATTCCTATTGCATTGGGATAAAAGGCTTTTAAATTTTTTATTAAGAAAAAGTTATTTTTACATCAATGAGATTATTTTTCTAAACCTGTCCTGTCTGATACAGATAGTCTCTGGTCATATGTAGCTATTTAAATGTAAATTAATTAGGATGAAATCAAATTAACAATTTAGTTCTTTACTAAATTTAGTCACTACTTGTGTCCAGTGACTGCTTTATTGGAGAGTATGTCTAGCCAGCCTTCTAAATACCACCACCTGAGATTTCCCACCAAACTGCTTCCTACTTTTCAAAGTCCTGTCCTACTGCTTGTTTAGTAACCACGTTGTAGCTGGAGCTCATTCTTTTTGTTCTGATTTTTTTTTTTTTTTTGCCTTTTTGAGACAGGGTCTCCCAGTAGCCCCAGCTGTCCTGGAACTCACTATGTAGACCAGGCTGGCCTCGAATTCACAGAGATCCGCCTGCCTCTGCCTCCCGAGTGCTGGGATTAAAGGAGTGCGCCACCATGCTCAGCTATTCTGATTTTTTTAAATGTGTATGGGTGTTTTGCTTGCATGGATGTAAGTACACCACATGCATGCAATGCCCCACAGAGGCCAGAAGAGGTGTTGGATACTCTGGAACTGGACTTACGTAAGGATGGTTGTTAGCTGCTATGTGGATGCTGGGAATTGAACCTGGGTCCTCTGGAAGAACGATGTTCTTAACCACTGAGCTACCTCTCCAGCTTCCATGATTTTTTTTCTTTTACTGTGGAACACTTCACAAATTTGTATGTCATCCCTGTGCAGGAGCCATAATAATCTCTGTACTGTTCCAATTTTAGTACATGTGCTGCCAAAGGGAAGACTGATTTATTTATCTATTTACTTACTTATTTTAGTCCTCTCTGGACTCTGATTGACTTTGCTGGGGTTACCCCTTCCTGCACGTACACTGTGATGTTCTCTGATTGATGCTAGGCAATGAGGGATTCTGGGAAGAACAGCTCATGCCTGCTGATTTAAGCAGTAGAGGAGCCAGGACAAGAGGCAAACACGCTGGGTCCCTGTGGGCTCTACAGAGTGGGAGGGGCTGCTCTCCTCAGTGCCCCATGCTTCATATGGGGAGGGGCAGAGGTCAGTCTTGGGTGCCTTTCCTCTAGTGCTCTCCACCTTATTTTTTGATTCAGGGTCTGTCATTGAATCTGGACCTCATAGATTGGCTAGACTGGTTGACCAGCAAGCCCCAGGGATCTGCTTGACTTCACCCCCACCCCTACCCCCACCTGACCCCTTCCAGTACTGGGGTTGCAGATACATGCCGCCACCTAACTGGACATCCGAACTCAGGCCCTCATGCTTGCTTGGCAAACACTTTGCCAACTGAGCCATATCCCTAGTCCTGAGGAAGTCTTTTTTTTTTAATTTTATTTATTATTTTTATTTTATGTGTATGTGTGTATTGCCTGTGTATAGGTAAGTGCACCCATGTCATGTAATGCCCAAGGGGGACAGAAGAGGCTGTAGGATCCCCTGAACTGGAGTTAGGACAGTTGTTAGCTGCTGGCTGCTGGCTGGGATTCGAACCCAGGCCTTCTGTAAGAACAGCCAATGTTCTTAACTGCTGAGCCATCTCTCTAGCCCCAATTTTAAGGATTTAAAAAGCTGTAATGAAAATCCTTTAGATAAGAAAAGCGGCTGTACATGTTGGCCCTTTTCTTTAATCCCAGCACTGGAGAGGCAGAGACAGGCAGATCTCTGTGAGTTTCAGGCCAG